ATTCCTCCCTGCATCTGTGTATTACTCTCTGCATCTGTATAATCCTCCCTGAATTTGTGCATTCCTCTGTGCATCTGTGCATTCCTCTTTGCATCTGTGAATTCCTTTCTGTATCTGTCTATTCCTCTCCATGCATGATGTATATTTCTCTCGAACGTCAGACCTGACACGACCTCCTCCCCGCCCCCCCTGCCCCCACCACCACCCACAAATGTTTAATTCTCAGGCCAGCTGGCACAAACAGTTCAATAGTGTCAATGTTCATGCAGTGGTGCCCTTTCCATCTGATCCACGCAAAGGGCAGGGTCAGCACAATAAATCAGTATAAGGCACATGTGCACAGCTTTCCATCTTCTTATCTGAAGCAAACGTGTCACAGAGGAGACTGAAGCACAACCTGCTGCAGATCTAAGGGGTGGTTAGACGAAGCCATAGCCACCCTTAACAAATATCCTGTCGCTACCCCAAATCAAAAAAATAAAAATGAAATATGGATTATTTTATTTTCTAAGTGGAAGCATAGAAGAGACATGGTACAGTGTGGCCGCCCCCATAAATATAACTGGCCCCTGATGGTCATCCCCATCAAAATTTTCAACAGGCTCCACTGGGGATGATGGGGAGCGAGACATGGGCAAAAAGTAAAAATGGAGAATGAGAGCCAAGTATGACACATAGATTTTTTAACAGTTTGTACAATTTCTGAAATTAAGCGTGCTGTCCAGAGATTGGTTTTTGAAGACTTTACTTTGCTTTACTTTGAATCATTCAATTTAAATTGGATTGAATGTTTCTGATTCTTTTTGAATTAATTAAGTCATCTTTAAAGTTCTGTTGAACTGAAATGTCACTACATGTATTTGCACAGCCATCGTAATCAATACCCACAGGCAAGCTTTAACAATTACGAATTAGAACAACATCCGTTTCATAAAAGATTATGTTAGATTAGATCACTGCAGCTTCTCTGCAACAATAAATATTCTATTCAATAAATGTCAAAACATTGTTTTGTAAACATGAATATTTATATCAAACGTGCAATGGCCTGAAAATTAATGCATTTTAATTTGACATTGCTAATCTTAGCAATCTAGCAAACTAAAAAGAAGACTTGCCTATTATATAAGTAGTTGATAACATTTCACAAGTTAATTAATTCTTAAAAATACAAAATTATAACAAATATTCGTACAAAAATAATACATCTATCCTATGTGAAACTATGAAAAGGCTGCTTGTGTGTTTTTAATGTTTTAAATTTTGTATATTCTTTACCTTCATGAGGTTAAACCAGACATATCTCCATTGGGATAAATACTGACACTGTCATGACCAATCAAATACAATGCCTTTGTAATAACAGTTTATTTTCCATTGGGTTGTTTGTATTGCAGGCAATCTTTGCTTCCATTTGGGAGGCGGGCATCATCCCATTTCACTGGAAAACGGGACTTCTTGTCCCTATCTGGAAAGGGAAGGATTATTACCTGGATTGCAGCAACTACAAGGTGATAACACTGCTCTCAGTACCGGGTAAGGTCCTTGCTAGGGTCATCCTCAACAGGGTCCGTAATCATTTACTTGCCTACCAGTGACTGGAGCCATCTGGTTTAATGCCTAAGAAGTATACTATCAACAGAATCCTGGCACTGAGGGTACTCAATGAATGCAATCACCAATATTGGCAAGGTTTCTTTGCAGCCTTTGTTGATTTTCATAAAGCGTTTGACTCTTTATGTGCCCTGTGGGACATCCTGAGACGTGCTGGACATCATGGCCAGCCTGTACACTGGTATTGTCAGTGCTGTGCAGAGAGGAATCAGAAACTCAGTGTTGTTCTCAGTTGATTCTAGGGTTTGTCAAGGATGTGTTCTTGCTTCTACTCTGTTCAGTGCTTGTATTGACTGGGTGTTGAGCAAGGTCATGGGGTCCCTTGGCTGTGGGGCATTTGTTGGTGAAGAAAAATTCACTCATCTTGACTTTACCAACGATGCTGTGATCTTTGCAGAGTCAATGAATGTTCTGATCGGGGCTCTCATGAGACTGAGCGAGGATTCTGCATGTCTGGCTTGCAAGTGTCTGGGATAAAAACCAGATCCAGGCCTTTAATGACCTCTTTGTCTGCAGGAGAATGTCAACCATGTTGAGAGGTTCACTTTGGCAGTGACATTCTTGTCTCTGGTGAGTCTCTCTTTCTATGAAATCAGTAGATGGATTGGGAGAGCATTGGGGGATCATGTGGTCACTAGAAAGGGGTGTGTGGTGTACTGCTGGTTCGACTTTGTGTCAAATCAGTGGTTGCTCATGGAGTCCCGAATGAGGGAGTGTCAGTTATGGAACTTCAGCCATGCGGTGCAATTCCCTGAGGGTAATTCGGTTTGCAGGATCCTCATTGCTGAGGACCCAAGCAGCTGGACCAGGCCAAGGGGACGCCCATGTAACACCTGACTATGGCAGAAAGAGGTTAGGTCTGGACCACATGTCAGCCTGGGGGGTCGCTAACTGGGATGCTGAGGTTTTTCATCATTTGGTGGGTGCAGCAATGACCTGTACCAGTCCTTGCTCTGAAACCTGACCTGACCTTTCGATTGTATACCTATATGTCTATTTTTGATTTATTTCGACATTTACTGAAAATTGAACACATAGTTAAATGAACTGGCACAAGATGCAGAATATATTATTATTATTGTTGTTATTATCATTATTATTGTTATTATTATTATCGTTTTCTGGCAGAATACGTTCCATATTATTAGGAAGACCTCAGGTGACTTTATTACACTTGGGCTTCCACTTTTTTCACCAAATCAAAATGCAATTGTGAACCACTCAATAACCATCGGGGTAGGCGGGTGGGGGGGGCACTCGTAACTTTTGAAGCATCAAAATGCAGTGATCACGTAAAAGTTATCTACACATTGTTTAATGCTACATGCTAAAGATTACCATTAAAGGCCAGAATTATACATACATTTTTAAAGAAAAGGTTATATTCGGGTTTCTCAAAATCAAACAGACAAGTGGACATGACTTAATGCCCTTTTGTTCCGATGCTTTCTGTGGCCCATGCAATTACTTATAGGCTATTGTACCTCTTGAACGAAAAATCATATTTTGCGAGCTATTCATCCATCCCTACATCCTCCATAACTGCTTATCCAAGTAAGCTGGGATCCCAGGAAGTATGCGGCAAAGGACAGACCACCAAATGGAACACACTCTCAAGAAATTATAACTATAAGCAATTTCGATACGCTTGTTAATACTTGGTTACTAGGGTGCATCAAACCCCCCAAGTGAAAAATATTTTCATGGCTATATAAAAAAAAATGTTCTATCTGTACTAAAAACACACTGTGCAAAATAATTTGAAATTTGGATAAGTTCTACCGGGTCCACAACAGCCATGAAATTCTGAAATAACGGCAATAATTCATACTTTGGAATAGTTATACTGCAAGCATTAATGATTTCATGTTTTAGTATTTAAAGTGGTTAATAGTGGATATCGATGGCACCGGGGAAAAACCGCGTATCCAACAATTTGTCAATTGTACAGGGGAACGTTTT